CTCATCAAAACTTCCTATGTGGCCCTGGGCCCCAAATAATTAGGGTTGTGCAAAATTTCACCGGCAGTTTTGTTTCAATGCTGTTACGAATCATTTCAAACTCAAAACAGAGAAATTGAAATGAAACAGAGAGCTTCGAAACAGCCTCAAAACGAAACAAGGCAAGTCAAAACGTTTCAAAATTTTCAAAACATTTCAAGTTTTGAAGCTCAAGCTGGGCTTGCCTGCAGGGAAATAGAAACCAAAGTAAGGAGAGGGAGGGGGAAGAGGGGGGAAGGAGTGCTCTCATTATTGACTGTGTAGCTGGCCAGTGACTGTCACCCTTCCCTGAGGTCCCTTCCAATCCCAGTGCTCTGGGGGAGGGAGGGAAAAACTGCGTAAAAAGCAGCATTGGTCGAGCTGCCCTGCTTTCTGCCTTGGGGTCAGTTACTGAGCTGTGTGTTCCAGTTTTGCCTGTCAGCAGCCAGAGGTGCAGGGCCCCAGAAGCCAGACTCCCCCCTGCACCGATCTCCTCAACAGCTGGCAGGCTTCATGGCCACAGCAGGACCTAGCAGGCCTCCAGTTTTCACCCCCCTGTGCCCCAAGACAGACACAGCAGTTGCACATGCACCCATGTCACGAGTTTTGCTTGTCAGCAGCTTGAGGTGCAGTTTCCCAGAAATCCCTGCATGTACCTCCTTGAAACCTCACAGGCTTTGCAGCCTCAGCAGGGGCTAGCAAGCCTGCAGTTCTGACTCCGCTGTGGCTTAACACATACACATGACTTGAGTTTTGCTTTCAAGATTTTGAGGTGCAGTTTCCCTGTAATCCCTGCACCTATCTCCTTGAAACTCGGCAAGCTTCATGCCCGCAGAAGGGACTATCATTCCTGCAAGCTGCGTCCAAACCAGAGCAGAAATAACATAGTTATAGGCTGTTTCAAGCTTCCCCATTATGGTCTATGGGCAAAACATCGAAAGTGTGAAAACAGCGAAACTGTTTCAACAAAGCAAAACGTAACAGTGGTTTCAAATCAAAACAAAATTCAAAATGAAACGCTGGTCTGTCGAAATGCAAGTTGAAACAGAACGGTGCCGTTTTGCACAGCCCTACAAACAATTGCCCACTGCTGGATTAGACTCTGTTAGCTAACAGGATGTTAACTACATTTCAAGATTTTTCCAGAGAAAACTAATAAAACTGTTGATAGTGGGATTGTGCAGAAAAGCTCTGAGCTAACTGGATCCCAAAGCAGGCAATATGGGTTTTCAAATGTCATTTGTAGGTAGGGAATGTTCATTTTTTATGGGCTTCACTTACCTGACGTTCTTTTCTCATATAATAATGATGCCTTGCATATTGTTTCTTAGGGGGTTGTAACTCACCTTTAAGTGCCCATAAATATTACTGCAGCTGGATATCTGCATTTTAAAGGAAAAGCACAATGCTGAGATTTATGGGTGGTCATTTGTACTATCAGCTACTAATTGAGAAGACAGATTTTCTGAAGTGAAATACTGACCTTAAGAATCTCTTAAAATCTACCACAGGCTGCAATTATGACTCTTCTTTCTCTGTGCCAATTGGATAATTTGTCATCCTCTTTTGACAGACAATTCCTAGTACACTAAAGCAGATGTAGTGTTACTGTATGTGTAGATTTAGGAATGTTCTCGTGGCTATTATGGTACCACACACCCTTTCTTCCCTGCTCTTCGAGAGCATAGGCAATTTTCTCTAAAGCCCTCCCATGAATGCTTGGTGGAGGTGTAAAGCTGGAGGCTGTATAACATAGGCAGGTCCCTCAGGGGGAACTAGAGTAATCCAGGGGGAAAAGACTGCATGGCTGAAGCAACAGGAACTAAGGAGGAAAAAAGCAAACTGGAAAGGACAGACGAGGAAATTTCAAATTGTGAGAAACTGGTCTTAGAGTACACTACAAAAATAGGTCTCCTCTGCCTTCTGCATTTGTTCTAAGATCCCTAAACAACTGCCCTTGTAGCCTCCTCATTACAGTTAAAGACCTTCACCAGGCTTGTGTATCACCGAAATCCACATCAGCTTTCAAAATGCAATCTATAGGCATTACAATGCATGGACCAGTGGCAAGAATACTAGCCAGAGATTCAGTGACAATCCCCTGCTTTGCCATTCCCATTTGATCTCTGGGTAAGTCATTTGCTCCTCTTCTGCAAGATGGCAACAACCGTATGTCCCCATTCCTCAAGGGTACTGTAAATGCCAGCACAATTAAAACTGAGATGAATACAGATATGAAAACAACAATAAAAGAACCTTCAGATATGTCAAAGAAGCACACGACAGTAGTGTAGATACCCGATCTCTGGTTCATGAACCAAGTACGGAGTGGGCCTAGTGTGTCTCAGCATGGTGCCATTTGGTGTGTAGACACATACAACGCTGACTTAAAATACGGTGACTTTCATAGTCTCATAGTTAGTAGGGTCGGCAGATCATCAAGTCCGACCCCCTGCCATGGGCAGGAAAGAGTGCTGGGGTCAAACGACCCCAGCAAGGTGATTGTCTAGCTTTGTCTTAAAAACCCCCAGGGTAGGAGCCAGCACCACTTCACTTGGAAGTTGGTTCCAGATCCTAGCCACACTGACAGGAAAGTAGCTCCTCCTGATGTCTAGTCTGAATTTACCCTCTGCCAGCTTGTGACCGTTATTTCTAGTCACTTCTGGCAGTGCTCGGGGGAACAGGGACTCCCCCAGTGTCTGCTGGTCCCCCCTGACTAGTTTGTAACAGGCTAGATCCCCCCTCAGCCTTCGCTTGTGGAGGCTGAACACATTCAGGTCTCGTAGCCTCTCCTCGTAGGGCCTACTTTGCTGCCCCCTGATCATGCGGGTGGCCCTCCTCTGGACCCTCTCCATGTTGTCCACATCCCTCTTGAAGTGCGGCGCCCAGAACTGGACGCAGTACTCCAGCTGCGGCCTGACCAGTGCCGCATAGAGGGGGAGGATCACCTCCCTCGACCTGCTTGAGACGCATCTGTGGATGCATGACAAGGTGCGGCTGGCCTTCCTGACCATGTCCCCACACTGTAGGCCCATGTTCATTTTGGCATCAATGATGACTCCAAGATCTTTTTCTGCCTCTGCACTGACGAGAAGGCAGTTCCCCAGACTATAGGTATCGTGCTGGTTCTTCCTCCTCAGGTCCAGCACCTTGCACTTGTAAGTGTTGAATCCCATCCTGTTCTCATCCGCCCACCCCTGTAACCTGTCCAGGTCCGATTGTAGCCTATTCCTCCCTTCTAGCGTGCCCACTTCCCCCCACATGTTAGTGTCTGCGAATTTGAACAGGGTGCTTTTCACCCCCTCGTCCAAGTCACTGATGAAGATGTTGAACAGTGCGGGCCCGAGGACCGAGCTCTGGGGGACCCCACTTCCCACATCCCTCCAGGTCGAATAAGACCCGTCCACCACCACTCTTTGGGTGTGGCCCTCCAGGCAACGAGTGACCCATTTGACTGTGTAGGTGTCAACGCCTCTCTGCCTCTGCACTGACAAGAAGGGAGTCCCCCAGCCTATAGGTATGCTGCTGGTTCTTCCTCCCCAGGTGCATCACCTTGCACTTGTCAGTGTTGAAACCCATCCTTCATGTCTTTTGCTTGCTGCAACTCCAACTGCACTTTGGCCTTCCTGATGTCATCCCTGCATGCCCAAGCAATCCTCTTACAAGCCTCCTTAGTTATTTGACCAAGTTTACACTTCTTATAAGCTTCCTTTTTGTGCTTTAGTTTACTGAAGAGTTCCCTGATAAGCTAAGCTGGTAACACAAGCTATGATTTCCCCTTTCACAGCCAAGTCTGGAGAATATGAAAAACCTGATGATCCGGTTCAGAAAGATACTGTTCAGGAAGAACTTCTGACCAGACTTCACGGCATGGGACTCTGCTCACAGTATGGGCTCCCCAAGCTACAGGACAAACTGGGGGTTACCTCTCTACAAGCTTTGAAACACCCACAGTATGAAGACCATCTAAAGCTTGAGTGTGATGCATGGTACCCATGGGAAAGCGGGCACTTTAACAGCTTCTCAAATTAACAGACAGCAAGACAACAATGAAGCACCTGCAGGAAGAGTGCTTGGAGAGGCTACAGAAGAAGCAAAGAAAAAGCCAAGCTAGCACTGAAGGAGCTAAAGGAAACGCAGGGAAGTGGCCAAAGCCGCCAGAAGGAAGAGGTGAAACGCAAAGAGGAACAGCTGTGGGGAGCAATGGATTTATCTCGCAAGTACTGGGTGTCATCTGAGAAGCCTTTGCTGGAGGTGACAGAGAACATGCAGAAGCAATTAAACCTCCTGGAGGAGTCGGTGTCCAAGGTGGAGAACATCCCCGATGAGGAGGTGCTGAGGCAGGCGTCGGGAGGGCTGGCCCCGCAGGGCATTTACAGAACAGACAAGCTTGAGGACCTGTTGGAGAAGAAAGAGCCGCTCATAACCGTCCCAGATGGATTCGAGCTTTCTGGTACGGAGCAAGGGCCCCTGTTTGAGAAGAAGGAGTTTTCATCATCCAGAGCAGAATCCACCTTCACCAAGACCATGGAGAAGCTGGGTTTCAGCACGAGTTAACCAAGTCAACTTAAGTTAAGCCACTTCAGAGCATATACACGTACAGAGCCTTGACATGGTGGGAGCCATCTTGTCAGCTAAGTCAACTTAACTAATGCAACCCAAGATAATATAACTTGCACTGCATTTAAGTTGACTCTGCTCCACATATGTATGTATACCCTGACAGTTGTAAACTTAAAAAAGTTAAGTCTCCTTAACTGTTAGAAATGTAGTACATATGTACGCATCCAATAAGATATATCTATATAGAGCTTTAGTAAAGCCCTATATTTACCATGTCATTTCTGCTTTGATTTTTTTTATATATTCAAAATTTTAGCTGAATTTCAAAATGTAAGAGAAAAGTAACATTTGTTGCAGTTTAGATAATTACAACTCATCTCTCAAACTCTTGCCCGTGTGAATGAAGAACAACATTCCTCGCAGGTTAGCACGTTTTATTACATTGAAACTTATTTTACATGACTTAGAGCTAATAGGTTTTATTTGTTCATTTAAACTAATGGTATAATAGTATCTGTTGACATAAAATGAAAATATTACTAGAAATCATTATAATTATTAAATATAGATATATTAAGTACTTTATATGTTCCTTATTAATTCTGATCTATATTAAAAGGCAAGTTAAAAGGGGGTAGTATGGGATATGGCTTCAATATATTAACATTTCACCTCTGGAGACCCTGTCTATCTCCAATCTTGTTTAGTTCACTGGTGCAATACATTCAATAGTAGGCTACAATAGACACTCACCCACATTTATAATCCAGCACATGCCATAAGAGCCCCCTAGTATTGCCACAGAAAAGGAAGGGCATGTAAATGTGATATGCTGCGTCAGATTCTTACTTTTCACTATAATTTCACCAAGGTATTTTCTGATTGTTTTGTAGGTGTTGCATCTCAAAGTCACTCCTGCCTGGTTATCAAAATAAAAAACAGACTTGAAGTGACCAACATTTAGTGTCATCCCACTCCTGTGTTTCAACAGAAATGGGCCCAAGGGTCCTGGAGCATCTAGTCTTCCTAAGCAGGCCTAATATAGGCCATCCTCAAGCATTCACTAACTCCTTACCATGCTCCTATACTAATCATCAGGGTTCTGATAATCTGTGCATAGATATGCAGTGTCCACACTGTGTTTTACAATGACACCAGTTCTCCTATGAATTTGAAATTGTATCTAAATAGCCAGGGTTCTAATTACTCTGACTCTTGCAGGAGAGAGTGGGAGGGGGGAGTCTGCAAAAAATATTGGCCTGCCCATCGTGATCCCCTAATAAAATCAGAGACCCCCCCCCAGGTTATGATTTTCAAATCTTACAGGGGGGCTCAGCCCACCGAGCTCCCCCGTAATTCAAACTCTGTAAATAGCCAATAACCAAAGACAACACTGGGTGCATCTACACGTGCAATTAATTCAAAGCAATAAACTCTGTAGGAGTTTTGTCCCATTTTGTTGAAAAATTCCCAAGAAGCTTTCCTGAGGAGTCACACATATATGAATTACTCTGCCATAAGGCACTACTGTCTCCAACAGTACTATCTTATGGTACTGTTAATTAGTTTACTGAGGCCTAATAGCATCACACATGCAGATGGCAACAATTTACTCCACAGGTAATGGGTCTACTCCACAGGAAAGCACACCTGTAAATGTGGCTACAGTGTACTTGTATCCTGTAACACTAGGGGTAGGAGTGATTGTCCCTGTGGTTTTAAGAACTGGCTGAAGAGTACAACCACCTGGAGAATTAATGCACTTCTGAACTACAAAGTGGAGAGGGGGAAGAGGGAATTTCACGTATCCCCAGAAGCAGTAAGTGGCTGTAACTCACCAGAATGACAGCAAGGGAAGGAAAGCTGTTGAAGAATAGACAAAGGAGAAAGGAACTACATTTCCAGTTGGCTAAAATATGTCTTATATACAACTACAGAAAGGAAAGAAAGGCACTGTGTTCCTTGGATTGTTCATAGCCTATATGCACACCTGGAGTGTAAACTCCTCATTCTGTCCCTTCCACTCTAGCAATCAGTTCTCTAAAGCTGTATTACATAAGTATGAGGATAACATGACTATAATACATAGACTCTCAAGTGTTGCATCGTTGTCTATATATTTTTTAAAAGCCCATAAAATATAAGGCAGCTTCAAGCCAGAATTTCATCCTGTTGAAAAACATATTCTTCAATGCTTGGAGCTTGTGAAGTAATCAAATGTGCTGCTCTTAAAAGCAAGACAAGTTGGCAGATGTAGTGACAATGGAAGAGTACTGGTTACCTTTTACGTACATACATACAGATAGACGTACACATTATAATGTATATATACATTATATATATAATGCTTCAAAAAAGACTCATGTCTTGATTGCTGATGGATTCATTTTCTTGAATGTACTGGAGAATGTCCACCTCGTTCATGGCTTGAATTTTGTCGTCTTTTGGTTTTGTTGGTGGGACTGAACTAACATTGTTCTGAGTGGTGATTATTGGCTTCTTAGGTAATGTGGGTTTGGCTGGCACCTTTGGCTTTGGTTTGGAACTGATTTTCAAAATCTTCTCTAAATCCTCTTCAACCCTAAGTAAAGAAAAAGAAATACAAATTTATGTGTGACTTCTCAGGAAAGGTTCTTGGGATTTTTTCAACAAAATGTTCTTTTGCTGAAAACCATTGACTTGCTAGAACATTTGTCATGGGAAAAGTTTGGTTTCCATTCATTTACCTCTGAAAGAGTTTTGAAAAAAATTTGAAATAATCAAAATTGAAGATTCCAGTTATTGATACAGAATTGTTTTTAAACTAAAATTGTATGATAGTATATGGGGGAGGGGAGCGGGGGAATTTAGAAGGACCTAAATTTAAACACTTTACAGTTATGTGAGTGTTCTCAATCATTTTCTTCAAGATTCTTAATCCATGAAAAATTGAGCTTTTGACTTTTTATCCCCAATTTGTAATAGGAAAAAAAATTTCAACACCTTAAATATTTTCATGAGCTAAAAGAGACATTTCCACTCAGGCCTATTCCTCACCTATCATGCTTCATCATGATGAGTTCCATATACAGCTGCAATTCAGAGTGGCTTAGTTATACATGCCCTTATTTGTAAATGCATATGCACTGTGACTTTTTACTGCAACATTTTTCTATTTTTTATTCAAATAATATTCAAAATAAGGCAAAACATGCCTGTTGACATCCATGGGCATTAGCTTGTGATTTTAGGGTCAGATAAAATGCAATTGCTCCAATTTGCAACTCGTGAAGTCAATGGTAACTTTCCCACTGATTCTAGTGGTAAAGAGGTCAATGTGTGTTCATGAAATACTGGGCACGTCTACACATACATTTAAGCACAACTAAGTTTAATATGCATTAAGCTAATGTGTATTCAGCATTAGCAGGTTTTTAGCAGGTTTCTACACGTGCAGAGACTTGGCACTAAAGTTAGTGCGCTAAAGTTAGTGCCAAGTCCCTGCAGCCCTGCCATGTGTCCCTTGTGGCTGGGCAGATCCAGGACTAAAGTTAGTGCCGGGTCACAGCTACATGTGCGTTAAGCCGCTTTAACTAATTATGCCTAACTTTGATACCTGCATTTGCATGCACATTCAGGACACACACGTAAACACATGCCTGTAACATGCATTAAATTAGGCTAATGCACATTAATATGTTGTGTAGACATGCCCACCTTGTCCTAATAGCTAGTCTAACGGGGAAGCTACTGACAAATTTTCTACCATGGGCATGTCTATATGAGATGCTTTACTGTGCAGTCCACTAATCCTAATGCCAGGATGGGGTAGCTCTCTGCTCTCCCCATCCAAGCACTGCTCAGCTCCCGGCTCCCCATGGGGACTGGGGAGCTCTCTGTTTCCCTGCATAGCTGATGGCTCACCAGGAGCTGTCCTGTTTCTGGGGCAGCTCTCAGGCAGCCACCAGCTGGGTGTGGAAATCTCTGGCCAGCCCCTTGGCTGTGCAGGGAAGCCCCACTGGGCACAGGGCTTGTCCCCATGTTCACAGGGCCAAGAGAGCTCTGTAGCAGTAGCTGTCTCCCAGCTCCATGTACATCAGGACCTCCCACAATGTGTCTGGGGCCAGGAGACAGCTGCTGCTGTAGCCAGAAGAGCTCTTCTGGCCCTGTGCACATTGGGGCTAGCCCCTGTGCTCCCTCTCAGCCCCCGCTCAAGTACCCTGGGGGAGCCTGGAGCTACCACTGGCTGCTGCAAGGGACCAGAACAGGATAGGAGCATCCCTGTACTGGGCTGCTCCCAATGGGAGCAAATTTACTCCCAACAGGAAGCATGTGTAGATGTGCTCCCAGCGAAGGCTTACTGCACAGTATTTTATTGAGCAATAAGCCTTTATAGCATTAATAGTGTGTGTAGACATGCCCAGTGTGAACTAGTCACAGTTCTTCTACACTAGTTCCCTTTGTGGATATGCTTATTCTGCCTTTTTTGCAGTTTAACTTAATCCACTTGCAAAGTAGATGAAAATAAACTGCACAAAAGCACTCATAACATGCTGTAAGAGTAGCCAAATACAGAGATAGTGCGGAATAGCTATCCTGGGCCATTTCCCCTGGCAGACAAGCCCTGTAACAATTTTAAGGAATAAAAAGAATTAATTATTCTGAAGCTGATGAATTTAAAGGCTGCAAAGACCCCCTTTGCAACAGGACAGGTCAGCTCTGCCATCCACTGGGATGGACTTGATTGGTTAGGTGCTTCTCACTGTGCTGTAGCAAGTCTGTTCTGCAGTAGGTGCCCAACAAAAATATAGAGGAACCAAGTGCAGATGCATCTAACATGAGGGTCCAAACTAGGAGATTCATGTGTGAATTCTCTGGTTGTCCCTGGAGAGTTGGGCTGTCCATGGTTTGAATGGGTTTGGTAAGGCAGCTTTACTACTACTCCTCTGCTTTGGGAGAGACAGGCTAGGGTTTCCTTTCTATTCTATCCCTCTACACATTCTCCTACACTCCACAGGTGGACTGTTCCTGAAGCCTTAGATTTGGGTTTTAGATAACATCAGTGTGTTTAGCAGGTATTTTTGATCCCTGCAATGTTCTTTTTAATTTGCTGCTTGTATCTTCTCCACTAACCCATAATTTTCTTTTGTGCCAGTGGATGTTTCTGAGGAGGGTCAAAAACTCCTGTTGAGTTCAGCAGGACTAACATTTCTCCCCTTACTGTATTTATTTACTCGTGGCCTCTAACAGAGATTAAGTAATCATCTTTACTATGCAAAGGACAGCCTTTGGCCAACGGCTAGAATGTCAAAGAAAAGCCAAGTTGTTCCGTAACTGTAGAAGCAGTTCATTGTGCTTATGCTCCAAAACCATGGGCTTTATTCCACATAACAAAAGAAAAACATAACAAAAGAAAAATCAACAGACTGGAGACACTTCTCTCATTAACTCATCCATCACATTACAATTCTGTAAATATTTGAATTTTAAAATACCAGGTGCTCAAAAACCCCATGAGCACTGTTATTATTATTAGCTGAAATAGCCTTTGGTTTTAATGTGCTTTTATTAAAGAGAAAAAGCAAATCTTTGACTGTGCTGAACTTAACCTCATTTGGTCATGAAACAGCCAGTGAGACCTTGGCCTTCCTACTGAGGGAGCAGGTCTCAAGTTCTTAAGACCTGTAGATCCTTATTTGAAGTCAGACATCTACTTCTACATTCACCTCAGGCCACAGGCAGGTGTTACATCTGTGTAAGGAAATATGTCCTTTTCTTAGCACAGAAAGTAAGTGTAGATGTATTCAAGCAGTTTGGGGTAGGAAAAACATAGAGATGCCACCACAAACTGTTAGCTGGTTAAATAGCAAATTTGCCAGAGGGTGAAGTTTTCTAGCACCAAATATGATGCCTGTACACTTACACTTGGTGATATAGGGATCTCCTGGTCTCCCAAGGGGGAGGGAGGGAGTGTACTGGAGGGAGAGTACAGCCTTCCCATAAGCTGTTAGAGAGCCTTGTTGCCATCCCCACTTGAAAATCCCTGGGACGTCAATGTTCCCAACCCCTTGAACATTCCCAGGTCTCTCTGGGACTCTCTAAGAGGTGGCAGCACTTGCACTGTCCCTTGAACGGTCCCAGGGAATTCTCAGACTATTCAAGTGGTGGCAGAAATTTCCTCACCTTTACCCAAACCCCTGTCCTGCCTACCCTGCCAATCAGCAGAGTGGGTGTAGTGGGCTAGCACAGGGTGTAAGGGGATAGGGTTAGGGTGTGGGAATTCCTGTTGCTGCTGAAAGGGTTGGGACTCTAGCAGTGGCACTACCAGAGGTAAGAGAGCTAATCTTTTCACCCATGCCACCTCTGCAGGGCAAGCAAGGGGCTGTCCTGGGTAAAGAGGGCCATATTCCAATTACTGGGACCCACTTATAGGCCTGCAAGCTGCCTTCACATAACTGGTGTCATTTTTTTTAAGGGACACCATTAGCTGCAAGCAATGAGCACAGAGGCATTGGAAACAACTGTTGCAGGCAAAACAAAATGTAGACAGCTGTAGAACACAGAAAAATAGGACAGAACAGAGAAGCACAGCAAGCCCACAAATCGCTCTGTAGGTGGGAAGTCAGGTAAGGCTCAGGGTGACAGACCGATTTTTAAAGGTAATTAATGGGTGAGGATCTACAGCATGACCATATATGGAATATACATAAGAGGTATAAAAGCTTAAGGAGAAAACTTAAATTTGAGGAAACCATGCCAGTCAAAACTGCAACCCCCAGTGCTGTGCTGATGCCTGGCTGTCTGAGTCATCAGCAAAGCTAACAGCACTTTATCATGCATCAGCAGATGCATGACAAGTAGATCCAAGGATGTGATACTTCCCCTCCGTGCAGCATTGGTCAGACTGCAGTTGGAGTACTGCATCCAGTTTTGGGCGCTGTCTTCAAGAAGGATGTTGATAGACTCAAGAGGGTCTAGAGGAGGGCCACTTGAATGGCTAGGAGCTTACAGGAGAGACTGAGAGACCTGGACCTCTTCAGTCTCCGCAAGAGAAGGCTGAGATGTGATCTTGTGGCCACCTACAAATTAATTAGGGGGACGCAGCAAGGGATTGGAGATGCTCTGTTCACCAGGGCACTTCTTGGGGTAACAAGGAGCAA